GAACAAGGGTGTCAGCAGTTTGGGACCCCCGTTGGGAAGAAAAGGGGGAAGGGTATAAATCAATGGATACATTTGTCCGCACAACCACCCTGTGAAATCGGTTAGGCTGTGAGAGCACGACCGGCCCAGGGTCACCAAGCCAGATTCATGGCTGGGAAGGGATTCTTCCTCATCCCTGCCAACACAGCCACTATAGCCGATTATCTACACCCTGCAGCCACAGAACAGACAGGGAAATCGATGGGTCCTAACCTGTTCGGAAACCACACGGCCTCACTTCGTAGTTCTGCGGCACTTTCCCAGAAGCACAGGGCTGTGTGCAGGGCTATTTTTGGGCAGGAACGCACAGGAACGGAGTTCCAGCTGGCTCCCAAGTTGGCCACGCCCAGCAGGAACTCATTAGCATAATAGGCCACACCCAACAGCAGAAACTCATTAGGATTGGCTACATTAGGGGTGTGTGGCCTATCATGCTAAGGAGTTCCTGCTACAAAAAAGCCCTGGGTTTTGACAACAAACAAGGTAATCAGAATAACAAGCAAAAGGTGGGTGTGGCTGGATAACCACACTTCTGGTAACATGGGGGTGCGGCCTAATGTGCTAATGAGCTGTCTTGTCAGGGGTGTGGCCCAATATGCTTATGAGTTCCTGCTGTTGGGTGTGGCCTATTATGCTAATGAGTTCCTGCTGGGCTTTTTCTACAAAAAGAGCCCTGGCTGTGTGATTGTTTCCCATCACATGGGGGACACATTCTGCACATGCTCAGATAAAGTCTTTGGGCTTCAGATATTCCCAAAGCATGGAAAGCAGCTTTGGGGATTTACTTCAAGGGGCCTGCTGTCTGAGACCTGGTCCGATCTCTCCTCCTTAGCTAGATGAATGTCAAATACCTGATACCTAAAGCAAACGGGGCTCGAGGGTATCTGGAAGTCACATCCAGAAAAGCTGTTCTTTTCTTCCAATTCATTTATACCCCGCCTTTCTCCCCAGTGGGTCCTCCTCTCTTCCATGTTGTCCTCACAATAACCCTGTGAGGTAGGTTAGGCTGAGAGTAGGTGACTGGCTCGGGGCCCCTTCCCCTCCCCGCAACCTTCCATATCACAGTGGGGATCTAAACCATCTTCTCCTTCTAGATGCATATGGTTGTTATGGCTGCACAGCAGCAAAAACATTCTGCCCATGCTCAGAGGCACCTTGTAACTGTACGTCTTTTATAGAGGATCTCTAGAACAGAAAGGGCTGAGGGCCTCCTTGAAATGGGAAGGGGGGGCTCGGTGGCCACACTCAGCCCCCCTCCCCCCTCGCATCTCCTTCCTCATCGGCCACACTCTCCTGGGAGCCCCAAGAAGGCTGCCTGCGTGTGCTTATTGCTGCTTAGCATTCCATCAGGCGCTCGCTTCCCCCTAATCGCTGCTAGGAAACCGGTGCCTTTACCAGCAACTTCAGACCTGCCAGGAACAGCTAACAGCCCTGACTGCGCATGATTAGCTCATAAACGCCACCCAGGCCAGGAAGAGGAGCGAGCGCGGTGCCAGGATGCCCGGTTGCTGGGCCAGGGAGCAGGGGGCCAAGAGGAGTGAGTGGAGGATGAGGAAGCTGGGCTTTGGGGATGGGGGAAACAAGGATTCATGGGGGGGCCCTGCAATCCTCTTTGGGAAAAGTGCCTTGAGTGGGTTGGGGGGATTAAATAGTTGTAAATTGCACACACAGAGAGAGAGACCCCAAATTCTCCACAGTTTCCTTGATTTCAAATTAGATGCTTTGGCTTCATTGTTCCCCAGGTACATGCATAAATGACACCTATCTTGCACATTGAAACTATGCACATGTACACCACCTCGACTTGACACAGACACCATGTGCCACAGTACATGTAAAAAGGTAGGATAATTAAAAATAAATAAATGCATGACGCGTACACAGGTATCGAGTGCCCATTTCAGAGGAAGGCTATGAGCAGAAGCAAGATTGCTTACCTGTTTTCACCTGGAAAGATGCTTTGCGCGTGGTAAATGGTCATTTGTTGCACATACTTCCAATATAAGACGTGTTGTGTTGCACTTTCATATGCCTAGATATGTACACCTTTGTGCACACTTAATGCCGCATGCACCAACAACCAGGTATATTATAAAGCACCCGCCTGCACACTATCATTCCATAAGCTCAGCCCAGAAGGATATCTGTAAGCAGCATACACTGCCAACAAATGTATACAGACACCACACTGACTCAGCAAGCATGCATGTGATATTTGTGCATACTTCTCATGGTTCAATTACGTGCACTGTGTGAAAATACAAAGTAACGTACATGCAAACATGAGGCCGTTTTAGGCACCTGAACACTCCAGCTGTGTGCTTTGGACTGAGTTACCTGCACTAAACCATGTACGTATGCATACACAACGTATAGCTTCAAGAAGACAAGCGTCACAGAGACACGGTGGAAATCAATACATGCATGAATCACTGTAATTCACATCCCTCCGGGGTACATCCACGTGCCAAAGGCTGCATGCCTATTCCTGCCTACACAAATAACATATGCAGATGTGTGAATTTGCATGCACGAACACACACCAACTATTGGCACATTATGTTGGTTCTGAACTCACTATTATTTTAATGTCAGTTTGTATGGCTTTTTCAATTGTTGTTTGTCACCTGGTGTGAATTCGGAGCTCGGATGAAAGGATGAGATAGAAAACTGGTAAAATAGAATATAAAATATTAAAGATAGACGGGTTGCCACTTTCTGTGTACGTGGCACATAGAGTACATGTTTTTACACACACACTTTATGTACTTACTTTATGTACACACTTTTATGTACACACACACACTTTATGTGGAACAAAGTCAGAGTCCAGTGGCACCTTTTAAGTCTAAGAAAGTTTTATTCTAGGTATAAGTTCGTGCATGCACATAAAAGCTTATACCTAGAACAAAACTTTGTCAGGGGTCATTTCCTGCAGGAGCTCACAGGAGCGGAGCTCCGGCATTAAGGAGCCCAGGGGGCGGGCACATGCAACAAGCCCCACCCCCTGCTCCCAGCAGCCCTCAGTCGGGCCACAAGGAGCAAGAAGCAGCCAAGCCCGTCTTCAGGTACAAGCTCTCCCTCTGTGAAGGCAGATTTGTAGCTAGCAATCCAAAACAGTCCAGTGGAGCCTGAGCCATGGGTGTTGCCTTCTGACACACTTCCAGTGATGTCAGGGGGTGTGGGATATGCAAATAAGTTATGCTAATGAGTTATGCCTAATGAGCTCCTGCACCTCTTTTTCTACGAAATGACCCCTGCTTAGACTTAAAAGTTTCCACTGGACCCAAACGTTGTTCTGCTGCTTCAGACCAACACGGCTTACCCACCCAACACTTTATGTCGTTGCTTTATGTACACACTTTGTGTACATGTCCTTCCCTTAAAGGGTTCAGGGTGGTGCATAGGTGGGATGAGGGTCTAATTTTAGCCTCATGACCCTGCAGAGTAAGCCGGGCTGAGAGAGAGAGTCACTTGCCCAGAGCCTCAGAGTGAGCCTCGTGGATAGGCAGGTTTCCCTGTTCTCTGCCAAAGGCCCACCCCCAGCCCGTCTGCAATTTGTATAGAGTCACAACTCCGCAAACACACAGGGGGCGCTTCAGTGCCAAGGCCCCGCAAGTCGGCCTCCCTCAATTTGCGACTTTACTTAAAGGCTGATGGCCAAGGCCTGCCTTTGTTATTATGCCTCCTCATGCTCCCATGGGGGGCATCATTTGAATTTTCCACTTCCGGCGCCCAAATGTCTGGGGCCGCATCTGGCACCGGGGCGTGCAAATTTTATAACTGCCCTTTATATATATAGAAAAACACAAAGACCACCCACCCACACTGGTCTCAGGTTTTACCTGTTTTCCCCAAAGGCTTTAAAGTTAACAGTATCCATAAGCCATAACCCCACCCCACCCCACAGCGTGTGTGTGTGTGTGAAGCAAAGGCATGTGCTCATGCACCACCCATGCTGACACCGACGTTGCAGAGAGAGGCTTACGCCACACACCCAAAGTGCATGCCATTCCGCACGAACGCTGCTTTAAGAGAGACCCCAGCCCACACTGAGGCATCCTGCATGCTCAGACACGAAGAGGGAAAGGGGAGGCGAGCCGATTGGTCGGCGTGGAAAGGTTTCTCCTCGCCCTTTCCCTTTTCTGCCCGGGTCTCCCGGGACGCCCCTTGCTGGCCAGGCCGCGAGAGGGTTAAGCGCGTGTCGTGAGCTCTGAGACCGGAGGGATCTCCCTCGCAAGCCCCGGCCGGATCACCTTACCCAACCTCCCTCTCGCTCTCTCTCTCTCGCTCGCCCTCTTCCCTCTTCTGCGGCAGAGATAGGCGGGGACCGGCTCGGTTTCCCCTCCCTCTTACCAACAGTCCCCTCCACACTTCCAGGAATCACCCAGAAAAAAAAAAAAAAGGGGGGGGGGGGGGGGGGGGGGAAGGGAGTCTGTTGGGGTTTGCACAGCCACTTCCTGCCAATCAGCGGCCTGCCAGCCACCCCCCGGCGGCCAATGAAAGTGGTGACCATTCATAAAAATAAATACTCCGCCGCTCCGCCCCGCCCCAGCCACACACAGGCACGGGGGAAGGCCGGCGTGGGACTGGCCCCCGCCAGCGAGGCCAGCGCCGTTCCCGACCCGAGCAGCAGTTCAAGTCTTTCACAAAACCCTTCCCTCTCCTCTCTCGGCGCCCGCCACGACGCGGAAACGGCGCTCCTCTCCTGCGCTTATTTCCACACCACACCACACACACACACACACACACACACACCCCGGTGTGTAATTACTGGGCTAACGGGAAGGCGCGTGTTTGCTTCGAAGCGCGCACGCAAGTTCACACGCACTTCCAGGAAACCCAGGGAGAAGCTGCGATTCTTTGGCGAGAGGAAGCGGCCCTCCCGCACCACACCACACCCCTCCCCGCTCCCCCCCCCCAAAAAAAACCTCCCCAACTTCCACCTTTTCTCTCTGTGTCCCAATCCGGGAAAACAAAACACAACACAAGCAACCGGGGAGTGGAAGTCATCATTCGCACAACCCTGCCGCCCGCTCCGGTGCCCTGCTGCCGAGGTCCCGGATCCGCGGCTTTTGAGATATGGGGAAGAGATGCGGTCGGACCGGGGGGCTCTCTCAGCGGCGGGTCCCTTGAAGTGCGACTCCGTTTTCGAGCTTGATTTTGCCTATCTGTCCATCTCCGCCGCTGCTGGAGAACTACAGGCATCTCTGCTTCCATTGCCAGCCAAGGTGAGTGAGTGAACGAGGGCTGTAGTGGCCGATTTCGTATTTTTGGGTTCATGGTAGGGGAGAAGTTTGAAAGACGGGTAAACTGGGGAGGGGTTGTGTGTGTGTGTGCGTGTGTGTGTGAGAGAGTGAGTGAGGAGGGGGGGTCCCGTCATTTTGCTGACCCCCTTCACTTTGGTGGCCCCACAACTCTAGCTAACCAGCCCAGTCCAACTCTTGATCTGGTTGTCCTGTTGACTTTCGCTCCGGGAGACCCGGGTTCCAGTTCTCGGTGGGCTGTGATGTGGTCTACCTATATAGCAACTCAAGTCTCTCTCGGGCTGTTGGGTGGGAAGGAGGAAAAATCGAATCAGGCAGCCGTGGACTTGTAGGACGGAGAAGACGGGAACCAGTTTTTGAATGCTTTTTTAAAAAAGGGATTTTATACAGATTTGAAATTTGGCACAATTTGAGTGTTCTGAGGCAAGTTTCTGAATTTCAGAGACATTCATGCTTTTTTTTTTTTTTGCTTTTTGGAATTTCTGAGGATTACCGAAGTCTGATTGGGAGGCTTTAATACTGACTTTTACTGACTTCCACATAAAATATTTTTTACATAGCGTACCTCTCCAACCACCACTCACTACCTTTGCCAAAGGAAGTCCACAGCTGAGAGTGCTGGAAGGATTTTTTAAAAAGCAGATTTTTATAATCTATCCAACCTGGTAGAAAATTCCTTCCACACTTCAAATTAGAACCAGAGTGAAATTATCTTGCTGAGCACCCAAGATATTTCTCCTAACCCCTCTGGGGTACAAACGCTGTTTCTTTGCTCTTTAACAGAATATGAAATTGTTATTAACCTTTGTTTTTTTTAAAAGAAGCAACTCAAGACAGTGAACAGGCTGCTAAAAAATATTAAATCTCTATATATGAAACAATAGTAAAAGGAAAGGCAGGATGCAGGGAAAGTTAAAGTCCCACTGATTTAAGTGAGAAAGTTAAAATGCACACCGAACTCTCTCCCATGGAAATCAGTGGGGCTTCACAGCGCTTAAGAACCTTGGCTGCATCGTGCCTTATTTGATTAAAACTCCTCTTGCTTCTTGACACGCTGCTCCACCATGAAGTGACTTGGCAGGCCTCCCAGGGGGGGAGGAGGAGGGTGGGGCACTGCTCCTGGGAAGGCTTTCCCCCAAATACCAAACAGGACCCAGAGCAAAGCTCCAGGCACGTTCTTGGGCAGGCAGCTGTTACCTAGTGGCTCCCAGTGGTCTCATACAGAGATTCAGTGGAATTCAGTGGGTCACCATGCTGGTCTGAAGCAACAGAACAAAGTCTGAGTCCCGTTGGCACCTTTAAGACAAACAAAGCTTTATTCATGGCATAAGCTTTTGTGTGCATGCACACTTCTTCAGATACAATGGGCGAGAGCTTCCTTGGAGGGTGGGTTAAGTGGTCTCTGGAATTGATGGTGTAGTCACATTGCAGAATTAGCCCCCCCCCTTCAGTTGAGATGGACTGAAAGGAGGCGGGCCAGTGCAGAGACTCATGCAGGGACGCAGCAGGGAGCTTCCTCTTCCTTTCTGCTCTCTACCAGTACTCTTGTGACTTACAGAGTTGGAATGACTGCCCCCTAGTGGTATTTGGAAAGAACCCACTGTCTGGATTACAAAAGATTGTGGGCTTGGGTATGTGTGTGTGTGTGTGTGTGTTTTGTTTTGCACCCTTTTCAGACGTAAGCCTGAAACTGTTAGGGAACAATCCTGCTGGAGGAATACAGACAGACAGCACTACCTGGATTCTTCAGAAGGGATCTGCGAGCAGGATTTTGGAGGGCTGTAGCTCAGTGGCAAAGCATCTGCTTGGCATGCAGAACATCTCAGGTTCAGTCTCCAGCATCTCCAATTAAAAAGATGGGGTAGGAGGTGACGTGGAGACCTGCGATCCTGAAGCGTCACCACCTGAGTACTGACTTTGATGGACCAAGGGTCTGATTCAGTCTAAGGCAGCTTCATGAGTGTTCTAGAATCCTGTTGGATCTGAGGTCAGGCATTTGAACCAGGTATTGAAATTCTTAAATCCTAAAATATTACTTGCAAATCTCTCCTGGAAAAAACTATTTTCATTTTTGGAACGATGTCATTTGCACATATTCTTCCATGGGAAAGAATCGAAAAGGCCTTCGGTGGCAAAAATGAAATAAAATAAAAATGCACGGGCAAAGACTGTCCCAAGCAAGGAAAGGAAAGACTTAGTAATGAGGCTATTTATCATTTATAAAAGGGATTCCGGAGCCAGGCGGTGTCCAGTGAGTAGGGTGAAATGGGCAAGCCCTGGCTGCAGGTTGATAATCTTTGAAAAATGCTGATATCAGAAGGAAAGTGAGGAGGGGAGGCAAGAGGCTCGGGAGAAGGGAGCCTTTTGGGGTTGTTTAAACATTTGCAATAAAGGAGAATGTGGGGGAAGGCAGAAAGGGGCCAACAAAGTAACCTGAGGCTCAGCGAAAGGAAAGATGAGACTGCATAAACACAGAGAAAACAAAACAGACGATAGGAGGCCAAAGAGCCAAAGGAAAACATAGTATTTTTTACTGGAGCTGATAAGGAGATGGAAGGGAGTGTTATCGGAAGGGAAACGTGAGCAAAAGAAGACCCAGGGGAATCCAGATGAGCGACAGAGTTGAGACGGGGTGGGGGCTGAGCAAGAGGCAAACCAGAAAGGAGAGAACAGCAGAAGTCAAGCCAGGAAAGAATAAGATCACAAGTCAGCACATTATTATTTTTTTAAAACCAGAACTTTTTTATTTTTTCAATATAACTTGCACTCATAAAATCGAGCAATAACATCATAAGTATAAAAATAAACTTACAAGTCAGCATATTTGAAGAAGGACCCGTCGCGGTATTTAGGAGTTGGAAATGGCAAGTGTTCAGAGACACTCGAGAAGAAGCTTTCGATTTTTATACACAGGGTACTTTCGATGGGTGAGAAATGTCAAATACACCACCTCTGCCCGGTGGCCTGAAGTGGTACAGTCTCGGAGGGTCCGCTCTTAAGTTACCATGGTGGTGTAAAGTGCAGTCAAGTCACTACCCTGTGTGTGTGCAGTCCTGTCAAGTCACAGCTGACTTATCGCAACCCCAGCAAGGGGCTTCCGAGGCACGTGAGAAGAAGGGGTAGTTTGCCGTTGCCTCGCTCTCCTTGGTGGTCTCCCTTCCAAGCACTGACCCTGCTTAGTTTCCGAGATCTGATGAGATTGGGCTGTACGATGCCGCCTTCCCTCCCCAGTCACCACCATACCCCATCCCATTTAGTTTTCTGCCATACCACACCCTCCTGGTCCTCCAAAATAGATGTAATCGTGATGGGTGAGAAGCCCCTTCCTAGTTGGTACTTGCCTCTGCGCTGCGCTTTGTTTCCTAGGATGGTTGCTCTAGGAAGGGGCCATCTTGGAACTCTATCACTCCAGTCCTGTGTCCCTGTGAGACAGGTGGACTGTAAATAATGTAAACAAACCAGGATACAGGTGACCGTTTCTGTGGCCAAAGGCTTTCCTGTGCCAAAACAAGGCCTCGTGAGTGAAACAATAGTGTGTCAGGGAGAAATTTCTCAGCTAGCCTCCTTGACAAGCTAGGTTTCTATATGCAAAGAGTTCTTGGCGGAAAGAGTACAGCAGCAGAAACAGAGAGAAGATTTGGAATTTCTTAAAATTCCTGGTGGCAGCAGAAACTACCCAGTTTATAAACACAGAGTATAATTTTAAAGTGAAAACAGTCCCCCCACCCCCAGAAGCAGCGTGGCACAAGGAGGGAGAACTTTCAAATAAGCTATGCTAAAATTGCCATCTGAAATCATAAACAACCAAGTCGGCTTAATTGTGTAGTGCAGATTAGCCCTACGTTTGGGGTTGGTGCTCCTTGGGGCAGGGAAGACAGATATTTCTGAGATGACGCTTCCCTTGCATTGTAACATCACCTGTCATATGGCTGCCAAAGGCTTAGAAGGCCTAGCAGAAAGTCAGCGGTGACCCTGATCTGAGCCCAGTCCTTGCTGGACTCTTGTGTGTTTCCTTATGATAGAGTACGCAGCAGTGCTGCCGCTCTTTGGCTATCGGAAAGGGTTGAGGAGGATGGCATGAGAAGAGTGTATGTTGCCATTTTTGTTGTTGTGGCTGCCGTCCAGGGTTTTCAAGGCAAGAGACATTCAGAGGTGATTTTATTTATTTATTTATTTATGGATTTATATCCCGCCCTACCCAAATGGCTCAGGGTGGCTGACAAGCGGCAATGCCGAATTAGAAAGATAAAAACAGTAAAACAATGTCACATACATAGTCAAATTCGGTGCTCTAATATTCTACATAAAATCCCAAGATGTGCAGCATCCCGCATTGACAGCCAGCTTTATTAAATGGCGTGAGCACCAGGAATGGTATTTTCCCCATCTCTGCCGGGCGACATCTACCCCTCCCTCAGTAATAGGGTAGATGCTAAGATGGTAACTCAGTGGTGGAATAGTGGCGGCGGCGGCTCCTACTCAAAAGCCTGGTGGAAGAGCTCCATCTTGGCCTTAGTTTGGGCAAACTTCACGTCTCGGGGGCCTGGAACTTCCAGGAGGTGGAGACTCCCCGATCGTAGTGCTCTTGAGGGAACATACGGGAAGAGGCGGTCCCTTAGGTAAGCCGGACCCTGGCCATTCAGGGCTTTAAAGGTAAGAGCCAGCATTTGCCATTGCCTGCCTCTGTGTCACAACCCTGGTGTTCCTTGGTGGCCTCCCATCCAAATAGTAACCAGGGCTGACCTTGCTTAGCAGTGGAGATCTGAGGAGATAGCCATAGGATGATCAAAAGCCTGCTAGTTCCTTTTCAATGGTATCGACAAGCCAAGGGAACAAGAAATGCTGGCGTTGAACATCTGCAAGCGCTGGAATGGACCATTTCCCTTTCTAACACCAAATACGCCAGAGCTCCAACCACCACCACCACCACCACCACCATGACACTGCTACAAAAAGGACTTCCC